CCTGTTTTTTTTATTCATAATTTTTAAGCAATAAATCTGACAGACAAAGCTTCCCGACCCCCTATAGAAAAGACTGGTTTATTTATGACCCCGGTTGGGATATCTACCCCACAGTTTTCTAGGATAGAGTCATTTCCTTTTTCTAAAAAGTGCAGAAACAGGAAGGAGGTCGATGCTTCGGCTTTGCGGGGGCAGCACATGTACCTGGCTTTACTATTTGTCCAGCGTTGATGTCATTTTCCAGCTCTGAAACAAAAAAAGGGGTCATTGAGCACCGTTTGAGTTCAATAAGGAGAGGCAGAATTGGACTTGTAAAAACGAGGGCCAACTGCAAGTTCTCTGAACAAACATCACAAACCCCCCCCCCCCCAAAAAAGGTTAGCGCTTCAGTCCCAAAGGTGTGAGTTAAGATTGAAAGCCTGAAAAGCTCCACTGAGGTGGAAAATTAACTGCAAAGGAAAAAAAAAACACACCAATAAGTGCCCGTATGATTGCTATGACGACGGAAAATTAAGATGCACCTTTAATGAACAAATGGAGGAATGAACACAGACAGAGACGACTAAAATTAAAGGAATAGAAACGCTTAGTTAGAACAGATTTATACTCCATGAAGTGGAGGGGGGGGTATTAGTCAAGTCACTTTTCTTGGAAGCAGTAACGCAGAATAAATTCTCCCGGTTCCTCTACCTGCAATTCGTATCACTGCAGCACCTTTAGTCAGCTCTACAGATGTCTCCACTGCAACTTTCTCTGTAAACAAAAGGGATTCAAACTGGATAAGATCAGCCAGGGTCATCTGAACATGACTCAGCACCACCACAGTAAATCAGAAATGGAAATAAAATAGCAGCTTTAGCCAAAAACAGAAGGTAGCTTCACAGAAACGGGAGCAGGCAAAGAAAGGAAGGAAAAAAAACAGACATCCTAGCTGTTTTCTCCTTTCTTGTATGTTTGGCTGCAGTCCTAAAACCCAGTTTACCCTAAAACACATGGGAGGAGTCGAGATTAACTTCAGTTTAAAAAAAAAAAACATGCTAAACATGCCCGCAAGTCTCCTTAGACCTTTATGATGCCAAACCACAGACCAGCCTAAGGGTGCGTTCACACACAGGGCGCGTTCTGGGCGTCAAAGAGTTTACATGCAAGGTCTATGAGGGGGCGGCGTATTCAGAGCGTCCCGGCATCGTAGTGTCCGACGCTAGTGCGCCGGAGCATCAACCAAACAGAAAAGACAGAAACTACCTGCTGCCATCGCTTCTGCAGACATTCTGCAGATGACAAATAAAGAAACATTAAGGGAGTTCAACTCCAAACGTTAAAAAGAAAGCTGGAAGAAATGATTGTTGTATAGAAGGAACAGAGAGGCGCTCTGGTCATTATTGCTGCACTAAAACATTTTTTATGAACTATGGAGAAACAGTTTAGAAATACCAAAATTAACTAGAAATGTTTAAACCTGCTGACAGAAAATATTTCATTGTTTATTCTGGTTCTTGCAGTTTTTACCACAAACCTTAAAAATTCTTTCTATTCATTTCCAGGCGTTACTAATGGCAGCAGGAAATCCCGCACAGGCTGGTTGCAGCACAGAGCCTTCAGGGATTTCCAGCGCTGCCTCCCAAAGGTATGCTGGAGGTCTGGAGCTCCCAACAAGAACTGGATATTTTAGTGGGATACTGGGGAAGATTCTGTCATCAGTCAAAAACTTTAAAAGAAAATCCACTGGACTTTATTTTCAAGTTTAAAGACTTTTTACTTCCCATCCAGGAAGCTTGTACAATATAAAAATTTGAAATTTTTGATGTAAATTTACGAGAATAAAGTCATAAAACTCTTTTCTAAAATCGTAACATTATGAGTATAAAGTTGTAAATTTACGAGAATAAAGTCGTATTTTTTTTAGAGAATAAATTTGTACATTTACGAAAATATCATAAAATTATTATAATAAAATCGTAACATTATGAGAATAAAGTCGTACATTTACGAAAACATCATAAAATTATAATAAAATCGTAACATTACGAGAATAAAGTCCTACATTTATGAGAATAAAGTCGCACATTTAAGAAAATAGCGTCATAAAATTATAATAGAATCGTAACATTATGGGAATAAAGTCGTACAGAATAGCGTCATAAAATTATAATAAAATCGTAACATTACGAGAATAAAGTCATACATTTACAAGAATAAAGTCGTATATTTAAGAAAATAGTGTCCTAAAATTATTATAAGAAAATCGTAACAATAAGACAATAAAGCCGTACATTTACGAGAATAAAGTTGTACATTTATGAGAATAGCATCATAAAATTATTTTAATAAAATCGTAACATTAAGAGAATAAAGTCATACATTTACGAGAATAAAGTCATAGATTTACGAGAATAAAGTCGTACATTTACGAGAATAAAGTCGTACATTTACGAGAATAAAGTCGTACATTTATGAGAATAGCATCAAAAAATTATTCTAATAAAATGGTAACATTAAGAGAAAAACGTCGTACATTTCCGCGAACAAAATCGTAACATTACGAGAATAAAGTCGTACATTTACGAGAATAAAGTCATAAAATTACGAGAATAAAGTCATAATATTGCGAGAACAGTTGTGTTTTACGACCAACTCTTACAAGAAGCACTTTCTTCCCTAAAATGAGGATTGTCGTCATCTTGTGAAGTTATACTTTAGTACTTATACTTTCACAAATAAGGAAATATTGAGACTTTTAGCATTAAATTATTATCAGTATAAAAACTTTGAAACGATTGTTAGCATGACTATGTCTGTATGGAAGCCATTTATTCTAGAAGCTTCCTTTCTGAAACTGGTTGTGGTTTAACGACTTCATTCTCGTAATTTTTCAACTTTATTCTCGCAAATTTACAAATGTATTTTTTTAATATTTCAACTTTATTTTCATAGTATAATAACTTAATTCTGATAATGTTGCGATTTTATTCTCATAATATTATGACTTTATAATGCTGAGACATTTTTCTCATAAGGTTATGACTTTATCCTCATATTGAAAATAAATAAAGAAATTCTGGCCCTACTACTGTAAAGATCATGCAACCTCTGGGGATTCATTATGCTGATAAACTCCTGATCATGTTTGAAGGACTCAAACAAAATAAAATATATTTTCAGTTGCTGAAGTTCCAGTTAAAATTATATTTATGAATTTAAGGATTACAAAAAGAAGAACAAACTTCCTCTTATTCGACTCAAGGCTGGGTTTTAGAGGAATGAGGAAGAAAAAAAGATGACAGTTTTCTGTCACAATAACCAGAGAACAGCTGTGACACCATTTCATCCAGATGCCAATGATTAGTCAGATACGAAAAAAACGTTGAACTTTTGATTTTTGTCGAATATAAACTTTTATTCTTTAAAAACAAACTCCGAGCGCCACATGAGAGCTCAGGAAGATCAGATTCCACCAATTAGTGAAGCTCAGCCGGCGCGGCTGAAACCGTATAGGTGGATCACTACACCTCAGAGAGGAGAAAAGTTGATCCCTGATGTCGAAAACTGAGCTGGACTTAAGAATATTTATGGCCGGCTCCTTGTGCAGCTGCTGAGCTCGATGCTAATGAGATTCAGAGCAGAGGGCCGGAGCGGCGCACGTATGAAGTGGGGAGCCATATTAGTGCCACCGAGGACAGACCGCCTGGCCTACACCTGGAACCTGCGTCTCTCATGAGGTCCTGTTCTCCTAGGTGATGAAACAGACCGCCATGTTTTCCTCAACGGTACGCAGCTTCAAGTTCAGCTGCTGAAAACTGCACACACAAAAAAAAAAAATAAAAATTCATGTCCTCGATAAGAAAAAATGTAAAATAATGAGGAAAAGAAAGAAAAACAACCATTTCAAAATTAAACGTCCATTTTTAAAATCGTTTTAGAACTGAAGTTTTATTGAAGCAAAATATTAAATTAATCGTGTATTAAATGCTACATTTAAACAATTTTTTTTTAGAAAGTGAAAAATGAAATAAGCATAATAGAAGTTGTTTGATAGGATAACAGGGTTACAGGCAAAAGCTGGCAGCTTTTATAATATATTAAAAAAAATAAATATTGACGCTTTACAGGGCAAGTTAGCATTTTTTTATCACTTGCATCCCCCCCCCCATCCCTCAGTGAGGTCTAGAAGCACAATATCTATATCCAGCATTCAGCAGATGCTGCTATATGGCTGTGCATCTTATTTTGGCATTTGACCTATTAGATGAGCCCTTGACTGATAGATTCCCTTCTGGAAATTAAGCCGAAAAACAGTTGACAAGTCAGGAAAAAGGGTAAAAATCTAATTGAAAAGTAAAAAAATAAAGTTAAAAAGTTAATAAGCCAAGTTAACAATTATATTTAGGTTTATAAACTAAACAATGTAAGTGCCAGCATCAGCATTATTGCCTCTAAAGTTATGTTTGACCAAATAAAAATATGCGTTTTTCATGAATTTCTCATAGAATCAGTTTTGTTATTTTTCTTAGTATATTTGGGCAAGTTCCTGCTTTTTTTTTTTGAGGAATTGTTTATTTTTCTATTCCACAGGCTCCATATCCACAGCCATTTGTTAAAGGTTCAGGAAAAAAATGAACATAAAATTAAACTCTTCAGATAAAAATCTTCAAAGGAAAAGTCCGATCAGCACGGAATGATCAATGGATCATTATCTACACCTAAAACTAATACGTTTGCGGTGATTTAATGCTTTTAAAGTTATTCCATTAAAAAAAATTCTAAAATTCTGCTTTTCAGGAAAGTATCTCCGCTTTTTTTTGGAGTGAATTTTGTTTCATTGTTGTTAAAACAAAATAAATGAAACTGCAGCCTAAAAATAAGAGAAAAAATGTTAAGTTCATATAAAAAAAGTTTTGAGTTTGTGTAATAAACCATTTTGATTAAACTCAAATCTGAATAAAACCTTAAAAAAAAAGTCATTTATGATCAACATCAGTGTTTTAAATCCGTGTATGGTTGGTTCGTTTTTTTTTTTTTTCGTTTCAAAACAAAAACGAAAAAACAAAACAAGCATGTGGATTTTTGTTTTTCTATTTTTTAAAACGAAATTAGAAAAACGGCATTTGCAAAAATGAAAAAATATTTTTTTAACTGCAATGGTTAAACCAAAGACAAACTTTTATTTTGTTTTTAATTTATTGGACCTTATGGCAGAACCGGAAATGAAGACCTGAACTCCCAACACATAACTTTTTTAGTTACCAGTAGGTGGCGGTAACGTGTCAACCGTGAAAGTTGACACACAAAGCAGGAAAAGAATGAAAACCGAAGTTTCCAAAACTGTTCATCTAAATTTTCATTTAGGTGGCAAAACTAAACTCAAGCGCTGTTGATTTTCTATTAATTGGATTTTTATAATTTTTTCAATTTAGGTTTTAAAAACTGAAAAACTGAAAAACCACATGCTTGTTTTGTTTTTTCGTTTTTGTTTTGAAACGAAAAAAACAAAAACAAAGAACGAACCATAAACGGATTGTTTTATCTGAAATTATTCGAGTTCTGGGAACTTATTTAGGTGGACGGGGCATTTATTTTACACCATGCAGCTAAAAAAAATAAAAGAAACAAATAGGAAGTTATTTGATCAAGGTTTTAAAAATACAAGTGATTTCTAAATGAACAAAGCTCCTTTAATCAAAGCCCAGATGTACATTTTATGTGCAGAAAGCAGAGATGATGCTGTAACATTCCCAGCATAACACTCACTACAAAAACTGTAAATCTAAATAAGTCAATTTTTCTTAAAATTAGTGCATTTTTTCTTGAATTGAGGAGGTAAGTGAAACACTTTCCCAATGGAAGACGACAATTTACACCTAAAATAAGAAATATAATTGCATTGTCTTTTTTCCAAGTGCATATGATCTTATTATCTTATTTTAAGCATAAAAATACTCATTCCTTTGGCAAATCATTTTATTTACCTTCTTAATTTAAGAACTTTTTTACTTATTTTTAGATGGTTTTTGGTTTTCTTCTTTCTTCCGTTATTCTGAGCCATTCAGATTATTTTAAGTGCAGTTCTTATTTCATTAAGCCTTTAGTAAATGTGTTAAATGCACAAAAAAAAAGACCAAACCTATTAAACGGATCCAAAAAAAATAAAAAGTTTTTATTGTGTTATTTTAAAATAGATACAAAAAGGGTTGGGGACCCAAAGTTTAGAAAGGCTGACATCAGCTGATGGTGTTTTTATCTGTGAAAGATCAGAGAACCAACAGGATGGAGTCAATGAAATGAAGCAGCAGTCCTCTGGCTCCCTCTGCTGGACCAGAGTGAGAACTGCGGTTCCACACAGATCTTTAATAGTAACTGTTCTTTATCACACTGAGGGAAACAACGTTTGGATAACTCATATTTTCAGGAAAATATTTATACAGATAAAAGAAAATCACCTAAAACATTTCTTCTGAATAACAAATTTGAAACGATTTGGAAAAAAATAAATAAAAAATCCTAACAAACTAATCAAATTAGACAAAAACGGAGCATTTGAGAAGCAGCCCTTTAATAAAAACCAGCAGGTTCAACAGACTTCATAAAAAAAAAAATAAGAAAAAAAATCAACAAGCCGACCAGATCAGAGTAGGATCTATGTTAAAGCTCTACGTCGGTCCAGTGCAAACTCTCCAACAGGTCACCATTAAGGCTGAGATCTACTTCATGCCTGCTGAGTCATAGGAAGGGCTTCTAATACTAGGAAGGAAGGAAGGAAGGAGGCTGAGATCTACTTCATGCCTGCTGAGTCATAGGAAGGGCTTCTGATACTGACCTATGAATGGAGAAGGGCTGCAACTAACCACTATTTTACAAATCAATTAATCTGCCGATTATTTTTTGGATTAATTAAATAATCAGATACTCAAAGGTCCTTTAAAGAAGCGTTTTATATAATAAAAACAGGTTAAACATATAATTATTGAATGCTTTTCTATTGCTGAAAACACAAGAGAACCATAATACACTGATATATATATTTATAGATGTTAGAGAGATGCCTTTTAGTGCATTATATATATAAGGCCTAAAAACATTGATGTATAAAAAAATAACGAATAACAGCAGATTCCGATGACAAAATCTATATATCATTAATCCCTAAAAGTATAATTTCAATTCCATCCAGAAAAATATGGATATGCTGCATTTTAAATATAATATTTTTTTTTGTAAACTTTCTGGTAAACTTGGAGATATATTTTATTGCATGTTGCTTATCCAAGTAAATGTTTTTCACCTTTAAATCTGCAGCTCTACCTATTTCTCTCTGTTTTAAAAAGATTTATGAACCTCTTTACTAACATAATGACGCTAGAAAATAAATTTCAAGATATGTAGAAGCTCTGCAGTCCGATTCTGTCTGTACAATAAGAAAATGTGTTCATTTTAACTTGTAACTGGGATTCATGGTCCTCCGGGAAGCCAAGATTTTTTTTAAACTAGTAAAGAAGAACATTTAAACTGTGTTTTCTCAAGCTTCTTGCATTAAAATACTAACTTGTGTAAACTTAGAATCTGTTGCCGTTTTTAGCTGAGAAAGCTCCGTATGTCAAACGAACAGATTTTTTTTAGCCTCGTGAGACCATCCTGATCTCGCGAGCTTTCAAGGTTTCACTCGCTNAAGAGATTTCAATCTCAAGGGACTTCCTGGTTAAATAAAGGTTAAATATAATAAAAAATGACCCGAGGTCGCATTCTAACCCGGGTCGGCCGCGTCGAGGACGAAGGCCTCCGCACATGGGTCGTGCTCGCTAACCACTGCGCCATCTGCACGCCTTGGAGAAAATGACTCCTAATTAAAAACACTTATTTATTGAACAGTATGTAATAATTTCATATTTAAAGTGTTTTCAGAAGTTTGTTTTCTGAATGTAAGCGGACTTTTCCTTTAAATTGAAAAAAAAAAAACTTTATGGACGTAAAAGCAGCAGAGACAAACGCAATTTATGTTGAAGTGAGACCTGATGTCTGTTTTTAGAGTCTGCCTCTCAGGGGCGGAGCTAGAAGGGGGGGTCAGGGGTGGCCATGCCCCCCTGTAATCAGTGGATGATTTCTTGTTCCCATGGCAGCAGTGATACTCTGAGGTGGGATGTTAAATCAGGGTTCCTACAGCATAATGCAACTTAAATTCAAGACTTTTTAAGACTTTTTAATGCCACTTGAAATAAAAATTTAAGACCAAATTCACAAGAAGCACAAGAAAAACCTGCTTGCGACAACTTAACCCAAAGGTTTA